TTATATTTAATTTTGTTCAATATACGAGTTTTTTTGTTGGTTTTGCAATATCCTTTAACACGAAAAAATATTTTAGCCCTCCTCAGTTTCGTGACAAACGATTTTCACAGTCTATATGTATGGGGGAGTCTCAAACCTCTTAATAGAAGAGGTTTCTTTTTTTCCCTTTAAGATAACGGTAAACTTCTAATTATATATGAATACAAAAGGGTCAGAAAACATACTAGTTTAAAATCAATAATGTGAGATCAAATTAAAATAATACTCAGGCGAAATTCAAATAGGAAATAGAGATGGATGCAAAAATGTTATCGTATTGACACGCTATGTGAATTCAGTTCTTAATCATTTTACATATGTTTCTACTATATGCATTTTGAAAATAATACGTTTTAGTGATGGTTATGAAGTTGAAAGTAACAAAAAATCTGAATTAATATTCTTGATCGAAATACATGTTCTAATCAGTATTTTTATTGGGACAATTTAGTGATCTCGGCTAGGATGACACGTCTTTAAATTTCTGTAAAACAGGAAAATCTTAAAATTAGATGAGAGACCTTCATGGACCACCAAGAAAATGCTGTGGTTCACCAAGGCTCCGTGGACCACAGTTTAGAAACCGCTGCCCTGGGTGCCCGTATAATGCTTGTCTTCTACGTATAACAGCAGTTTATGGAAATCATAAATGGTCAGTGAGTGTTTATTAACATCGGACCATAAAACAACACGAAAGCTACTTGCCACAGACCTCGTAATATTGAACCCACCTCTCGAAACTTCCACAGCACTCAAACAGGGTGGGGGACTTTAAGCCTCCAGATATAAAACACGCATGAGCTCCAAAACACACGGTGGGTAGCAATAGTACAATGATTGGAATCAATTCAAATTACAGACATTGTTTTGAGAATATTATTTCAACTATTTACCTACCGGGTCACAGACATATCCCTCCCTATGCCTTGGGTTGAAAAGAAATTCCTCGCTCGAATCAGTAGGAAGACGATTTTAATCCTGTCGCTGTTAGTTGTGATTGAGAGTCATTGATTGATTGTTGACGCTCTTTGAAACAACACGAGCGCTATTTGCTTCAGACTTCGTAAATTTAAAAGGACGAGTCAAGTATTGAGAGTTACACCTGAGTGGGCACCCTTCTCTCCAGACTTCTACTACATGCTAACGTTAAGACTTTTAACCTCGACAAATTTAGTGTGCACCAACCACCAGATATTTAGCAACTCCACAAAAGCAATACTTGCCATACATTTGCGACCATGACCATTCAGATACCGAAGCCACTTCAATTCGTGCAAGTGAGTGAGTGAGTGAAATTAACATCGGTCCCTACATGGCGGGTCTTCAGAGGTACTAGACTCGAACTTATGATACGCTAATCACGAGTTCCTTACCTTGACTACTAGGCTACTGTGGCCATTCGATTCGTGCAAGAGGTGGTTGCCATAAATGTATGGAGTTGCATAGCACGTAAGGTTTATTTTCTCTGGACAAAGTATATATTTCAAGTATTTTATGGCTTAGAGTTATGTTAAGCAATAGTCTTCGATGGTCCAAGTCCTTCCAATATCCTAAATGGAATAAGGATTTAAACCTGGTACTCGATGCATATATCACCAAACACTAAAAAAAATCAGCGATTTTAATTCCTGGATTACCCCAATCCCCTATGATTTAATAAATTATTTTGCCTTTGAGAAATTGTTCCTATTTATGGTACATATTTGGTAAAGATTTAAAAATGAAATTAACATTTTAAAATATAATTCAATGAAATCTCTTAAAAGGCACAGTTTCTGTGAGCCTTGCATAATATATAGTACAGCTATATAACATTTCTTGGCATATGAATTTGATTAACAAGGACTCTAGAACTACTACGACATTTTTTATAAACACAATTTTTAAATTATTTGGACCATATAATTCATAAGTGTGAGCTATTTCAAATTAAGGTCAGAAGCGGCGCGGCAAGCGCTGACGTAACAGCTTTGATGATATAATTATTAGAGAACACTGTAATCCATTCAAAAAGTGCTCACCGCTTAGAAAGTATAGAAAATCTATTTTATCAATTGTTTTTATAAATGGACAATATCTTCCTTTCTTCATTTTTGAATCAAAGCATATATGTATTTTATAAAAGTTTAAAAGGACTGAGAGAGAAGCGATATAACTTAATAAATGTTAGCGTAGAGAGTTGATTATTCAAATATACAGGCCGCATTATACATTAGTTGGACTGAAGTCGAAAGGCCCGATAAAGGATTCTACAGCAAATTATTCAGCCATAAGGAATTAATTATCTATAAGTTTAAATTTGGCTGAAGCCGAGATACGCAATTGATATTAGGGACCAGAATGTAATAAAGTATTTTATATTGCACTTTTTTTAACATTTTTATTATATTCTTTGAAGAGTCACACAGATGGAGCAAAAATATATATAAACCAAGTGAGTGAGTGTCTATTAACGTCGCAAAGAAAAACAACACGAAGAATCGGCTACAGATCTCTTAATTTTGAACCTCAAGGACGAGAACGATACTCGAGCTGGCACGGCCTCTCCGAATTACCACACCCCGCCAACGGAAGAACTTTGAGCTCGACAGATTTAATGTTCCCTCTACACAGAGGGTCTTCAGGGGGACCAGCACTGAAATCCGCGACATACATATAAGCCAAGGGAGCTATCGCTATTTGGAATAAAGTGAGGGAACTGGTAAAAAAATACTGGGCTCTCTGACGGATTGTTCATTAACGTTGCACTTCAAAACAGCACGACGGCTATTGGTTATGGACCTCGTAATTTAGAAGCACGGTCAAGCGACCAGGGCGACACCTGAATTGACACCCTACTTTCGAAACTCCCATACCGCGCCAACGTGCGGACTGAACTGGTTTCAACTCTCAACTGGTTGAATATGTTTCTGACTCCAGAAGGCGAGAATTAGAGTTTTACTAACATCACACTTTAAAGCTGCATGAGAGCTATTGGCGTCAAGCCTCGTAATTTTAAACCATTGTCAAGTAACGAGGACAACACCTGAGTTGGCAGCCCCGTCTCCTAACTTCCACACCATTCAACCGGAGGACGTTTGAGGCTCGACAGATTTAACCTGCACCGGCTCTCTCTACACGGCGGGTCTTCAGCGGTACTAGGCTCGAACTCATGACATGCCTGCCACGAGTCTGACCTTGATCACTAGGCAACTGCAGCCACACACCATACGGCGGGTTTCAGTGTCTTGATTTGATTTTTTAAAAATTACATCGCTAGGGGCATTAGTGACGGATCACATTTAGTGACGAGGACGACACCTCAGCTGACACCTCACTCTCCAAACTTCCCAACCATGCCAACGTATGGACTACAAACGACAGATTTAGCGTGCATCACCTCATCATGGGGTTGAGCCGGTGACTTGACAGCAATAATAGCAGGCACCAATTCGCGACCCAGACCCCTCAACCACCGTGGCTACAGCCGGGCCTCCGATTAATCTTAATATAAATCACAGTGAGAAATTGTGGTCAAAATATAATGCACTGGAACTGAAACTTTTCTTTTTACTTTGGGTTTGTGATATTAAAAATTTTTACGAATTGCTCTCATCAAAGTGTTGTTCTACCACTATTAAAAAATGCTCGAAAAATTAAAAAAATATCCACGATTTTTATTTCGGCAACCCTAACTCAAGTAAGCGATTACTCTATCGGAAAAAACCTTGATTCTGACTGCATTTAGAAAACGAAAATCTCACATTTCAACTTTTTTTTAGACGGGTTCGGCTGCTTGCGCGGACGTGCGCATTATTTCACACACGTAAGTGCTTACATAATAACGATTTCCATATATTACGGAGAGAGAGAACCTTCACCAAACTCTTTTTTCACCATTTGAGGTGGCGTTACGTCCCTTCAAGCTTTGACCCTGAGTCCCGCGTTATCTGGCACCCTTATCGAATATAAGTTATCGAAAAACGCAGAAGGGGGATGGCAAAAAAAAGAGAGAGAGAGAGGAAGGAAGTGTGTGAGTGGATTCTGTGTTACGCAACAACTGAACTCGAGAATGACGCAACATAAGGGCGCCACCAGTGGTGGATCGCACAAACTCCAGCATCTGCAAATCCCTGAGAGTAGTTAGAGGAACAAGAATGAGAATCCAAAAGAAAAAAAAGAGAGAAAAGAAGGCGTCGCAAAGTTCTCTTTCGCAAGTTCTAATGGCATTGGGGTTGCGCCACCCGGCGCTAAATAGAAATGTAGGATGTTGTGCAAAAAGGAAATGCTTCTCAAACTTAACTTCAATAGGAGGATTGACCAATTCGTTCTTTGGGTGATTACGTTTTTAGTTAGGTTCGTTTCATTATGTGATACAGATCTCATAGGAGGTGAAATGGAATTTTTGTTTCAATAAAAACGATAAATTAATTATAGTATTTGATCCTTATATTGCACCAGGGGTAAAGTTGTGAAAGAGCTCTGGTATTTCGAACACAATTTCTAGGGGGCTTGACACAAACATCGTAAATTCTTTACTTACAAAAAGACCCTCCTCTCCTATGATTTAATGACGAGTCTTGATATATTTCATTACAAGGAATTTAGGGAGCGTTTATAAAAATAAATTTACTCCCACCAACAGTATTGGGGGAGGGATAGAGCAAGATTAAGAAACAGCCATTCATTCAGCGTGTTTTTAATACATATATACAATATTTTTCAATTCCTACTCTATTTAACTTACTCAACATTTCAACGATATTTGTATATTGTTCAAATTTTCACTCGTTAATGAAATGCTTTCTATTTATCAATTCAAGTTCAAATACATTTTTTTTAAACTTGTAGTGGATGACACTTTATGTTATAATACAGTTTTTTTTAATATTACTTCGTTAATTAAACTAAATAAATGAATAAATAGTAACAAAAAAAATAATAGCCCAACAGCATATATAGAAAGGAAAATCGTTCGTCGT